TTATCACAAAAAATAGGTTTCCTCTATCTAGCAAAATTAAGTTTGCGCAAATCCCCTGAGAGAGGAGTTATGTTTTTGAATGACGCGATAGATTCTTTGCATCAACCTAATATTTTAAATCGAAAAAGAACACTTCCAAAATATAGAATCAAGAATGTAGAGAGAACTCTGCAAGCCTCTGAAGACAGCTCAGGTCTAATAAGATATGCAGCACGCTTGAAACTTATTTTCCATTTCAATGTTCACAGCATACAATACCGCTCATAATTCGTCAAAAAAAGTCGTCGGACTGCGGCGCACTCCGCCACACTCCGCCACAGTACGCCGGAGTGTGGCGGAGTGCGCCGCAGTCCGGCGACTTTTTTGACGAATTATGAGCGGTATTGTAGGTGCGATACGGGGAGCCCGGCCCTTTCCAGGTGAGGAGGTCTCTGCATCCTCGCAGGTGAAGGGAATAAGTGAGCCCTGAAAATGAAATGTCACAATAAGCTACATACCATTTGAAAGCTGAGGTTATGGAGAATCGAAAAATGCCGTTGATTTTTTCCAAGTATTTTAGGCCGGAAAATGTGAGCGATTTTATTTGGTCAGTTTAGCATCTAATCTGGTGTACTCACTTTTTGTTCTTATATCGCGATGAAGATGAAAGCTACGAGAAAGTCGACGTCTGCGATTGAAGAAGGCTTACTCTGTAGCACAGATAGATAATCAGCAGTAGTTAAGTCTTCGTTGGGCAGAAATCTGCGATTAAAAATGCACATAAATCTAGAATGCGGAGTATTTCTAGCCCCACTCTATCGAGAGATACTCCGCATTTTATTACTGTTTGTCGGATCCTTGTTTTCTAAGCTTTTGAATAGTATATACATTGTAGGGCGAAATTATTTGGCAGTTTTCAAAAATGGCGTGGAGATATTTACTATTAATTGCTCCACCCCGCTCCTCTAATGTATTGGCTTTTATGGTTACCGCAGCAAGCATTTTTTGAAGCTAGGAAACTCAATGCCCCAACAAGCTATATATTATTTGAAAGCTGAGATCATGGAGAATCGAGTAGACAGTCGACTTTTTTTAACTCGTCTTAGCAGTGAGATATGAGGGATTTGTCTGATCGATATAACTGGTGATTCGCTTCGGCTGGCAAAAAATGCATTCAATTCTCTTTCATCCCATGAAACTTACTGAGGTAATCATTTACCATTCACATCACACTGAGCTGTTTTTGTAGTCTTCTGCAAAACTTTTTTGGTTTTTAAAGTCAGTGGATCGACAAAATCGAAGAAGTCCAAATTTTGATGCAGTAAGTTTCTTGTCCCCCCCCCCCCAAATATAAAAACAAAGCGAAAAATCGAAGAAGTCCAAATTTTGATGCAGTAAGTTTCTTACCCCCAAATATAACAACAAAGCAATCCCGGTCGCATGACGTGCCCCCCCCCCCCCTGCCAAGAAAATTGCCCCAAACGCGTGCGCGCAAGCCAATCTTACACGCTTCCGGACGAGTTGGCGATTCCCTCACTTTCCTACACGCGCCCTTTGATGTTGCTGCCTTATAGCGTCAATCATACCTTCGATAGTCAAGAGACAGAGCCTAGAAAGTGATAGTTGTTTGAGTTCTTGCCCCCTATAAATAGTGAAGGTTGTTTTAGAAAAAATAGATGGAATTTTAGAGATTTGAATTGAACCAGGAAACTTGAAAAATTCATATAAAACAGAGGCTATCACATCACCAAATTTAAAACCTTATCTTGGTGGTTTCCTACGCACATTTTTGTCTTCAGAATTGCCGGTTAAATTGGGTGGCAACAGGAACAAAGTTCTTTTCTAATTGAAAAAAGCGTTAGCTGTGGCGGTAGTTGGGAGACCGAAAGAAGGCAAACTTGTCAACAACTTCAACAACTGAACTGAACATGTTAAGCATGTCTGAAAAGTTATGCTGCACATCGACGCCAATCTGATTTTTGACGCGCCCTTTAAATTTTCACCCCCTCATGGTCGTTTCGTATCCTGCGACGTTGTCTGGATTCTTCCGCTCATCCTTCTGAGCAAGTAACGTCCAAGCTGGAGAAAATTCGTTGCAAAAGCATTGAAAAAGAACAAGGTAAAGAAAAACTACTTTTTGGTAATTTTCACAAAAAAAACCGGCATAAGCAAAGAAGTAAGCTCGGCGACGTTGTCTACATCATAGACAGAACAAGACCTATCGAATACACAAAAAAGCCGAGTGAAAAGAGTTGAACTGAAGAAAAAACGAGAGGTTTTCGAAAACTCCGTTTTTGCTATATTTCTCGTTTAAATCATAAAAAGGAGTCCTGCGACGTTGTCAGCGTGAAAATAGAGATTAAGAGCTTTGATATGATATATAGATTGTCGAAACTGGGCTCTCAACAACGAAGAAAAGGGTACCAGAGCCAAATGCCCCGCGCCCCGCTTTTGGGGTAGCGAGGTAGCGTGCAAGTCGCGGAGACGCAGACGAGCAGCGGAGACAGACCAGAACCGGCGGGGCATTTGGCTCTGGTCATTGATCTCCGCAGGATTATAACGAAACCCTGTAACATTATATATCGTTGCGATCCTCATGAGACGCCCAGGAGGACTGACAACGTCGCGGGTCTTGAAAATCATCTTATAACGAGATAGACCAGCATTTAAGTAGCGACTCTCTGCGCAAGATTTGAGCGCAGTTTCTCATTTCTATTTAACTCCAGCTGCTTTCATGAACTTCCAACGCTCACTCGAAGTCTAGAGAAAGATTAACTGAGAAATTTTGCTCCAGTTTCTCATTGAATCTTTGAATAAAAGTCTTTTTGGCAAAAAAGGGCCATAAAAACGTAATTCTTCGGTTTTTTGAGCTTCTTTTGGATGTCACTACCATATTTACCTCATTCACATCTTTCCCTATATGCATATGTCATTAGTTATGCCATGATATCCGGGGCTTCGCCTCGGATGACTTCCCTCTAAGTGAAGGTTGTGCTCTATCATGACGCTCAAAGTGAAGGTCACCAGAGTACGTGGCTCTATGTATCGAAGGTATGGCGTCAATCGTAGTGTCGTCAAGGGAAATCCGTGAATTTTGTTTTTCTCGCTCACTTCCTAACGCGTAACTGAAGCTATAGGAAAGTAAGGGTATCGGGTTTGATGTTTATTGCATTTTTTCAGAACATGGGACGTCATGGTGATATAGGGAAGTGCGCATCTCGGGATCACGAGCAGATCAACGTGAGTTATTTTTGTTTGTAATTGAAATGTGGAAGGACACGACATTCTTCAAAAACTCTTTGAGGTCAGTTATCTGTCCTTCTCCTCGTTTTAACGCATTCGAGTTGCAAGAGCTCAATCGCGAATTTTGATTTTGATGAGGATGCTAGGGAGACTCTTGTCTAGAGAATAGAACTATGCAAGTGAGGGAAGAACAGCGCTTCATGATCAAACTGGAGAAATCAATTTCCGATTATTGCGAACTTTAGATGATTGAACTTAGCTTGGTCTCAGTGCACGTCCTTTTGCTAGGGGTTGAACCAGAAAATGGCATGGATGCTATGCCTACCACTCGTTTGAGTCCTCGTTGTCAATGTCCTGCGGTATGAGTGATTGTCTTATTGCTGAAACAACTTTTCTGATATGAGTCTTTTCCAAAACGTCGATTTTTGACTTCACGGTTGAATTTTGTTTTGGCTTTTTTTTTTCAGCTTGTTTGAAGTGATCGAAATTGTCTGAAATGAAACAGTCTCTGCTCAATATGGGCTTTTTGCAAAATTTTCGTCAGGAGTTTTGTATATAGGAGGTAAGAGCTTATCATTGTCACCACTTTTACTGCAAAATATTGTTATCATCAATTACATAAAAAAAACGTGTAACATTATCCTTGCACTGCACCTTGATCAAACTTGTTTTGAATGAGTTAGCTTGAAGATGAAAATGGTATCAAATCGATATAAACACGATAAGTCTATATGCCTCTAAACTTGCACTTGTTTGCATTGGAAGAATGGAACAGTATTTACGTTCTGTACATAATCAGTTTTTGCTCACTTAGGTGTAGTCTCAATTGCGGACGCGGCAGACTTCACGTTGAAGGATGTGTTGGTCTCTGATGGCGCAAGCTGTTTTACATCATTCCAGAGCAGATGAAGGTCCTTTGAAATTGTTACAACATGTTTGTAAATATTTGTTAACCGTAGTCAATCATGTTCCATATTACTGTTAAACTGTGTTGTTCATGTGCAAGATGGATATGTCTTTATAACTGACGTTGTTGTAAAGAACTTCATTTACATTCTTGTGAGATTCATACGTATATGTACGAAAAGTATAAGACTGATATGAATTTGGCAGTAACAGGCATAGAATCCAAGTAGATAAGATCAGAAATGACAAAGTTGATCATCTGATAAACAGCTGAGTGGGTGGAGCATTCAAGTTTGAGGAATATATTTCTCCGAGTCACTATTCAATGAACGATTTTTCGTGGCTTATCCCAATCAGGCCGGTATGCCGCTTCCATTCGCTTAACAAAGACGACCTATAACTATGTCATTACCCAAATTTTTTTGAAAGGAACGTGTAGAATGCATACCAAGTTTTTGCAATGTTCCTGGATATATCCTCCCAATTCTAATAGAAGAGGTGCGTACAGCAACATTGACAAGTGTGCAATTATCGCGCAATCAAGCTAAAATCAATCAAATTCTGTTTTATACACTTCATCTAAAAATTTATATCTTACTGTCACTGGTCGATACCTTAGAAATACTGGTTACTGCCAACGCGCCTCGAGGTCCTAAGTTAGCATTATAACCTCTTGTGGAGGAGTGTCTACCCTCTGAGTGGAATTTTTAGTGCTTGAAGCTGGAAGGATATGCTGATTTTTTGGTTAATTTTCGTACGTCTAATTTTTTGCACTTACGTTTCGTCGCATAATTTCACGAAAGAACTTTTGAGTGCCATGTTCTGATAACTTGGAAGTGATACGAAACCCCATTTCAACAGCAAACCATTTATTATTTCGACCTCGCAAATCGAACAATATCCTGAATGAACATTCTGATAAAAATTGTAGTACTACCTCAAGCGAATGCAACGTCGTCCAGTCTCTATGTGCAGTAAACTGTCTTTATGTGTTTGATTTTGGGTGTTTTAAATGCCCGTTTTCAATATTCAACTTCTATTCACTGTACTTGGCGATGGTAATGGAATACACTCGGCGCGGGGAAATTGCACCAAATAAACGTGGTCCTTGACCCACTCACGTTTTATCAATCTGTTCCTGACTCAACTGAAAGAAATCCTAACAAGTGATGCATAGGAGGATGAAATCTGAATTTGACAAACGAAAGTGCTTTCCTGAGACGAACGAAAGTTGAAATTGGAAGAAGTAATGGAATATCAACAACAAACACATGAAAAAAGCGAAATTGAGAGGAGAACGAGTTGTGGAAAGGCGGGACATCATCAAGCGGAAGTTCAACGACTTCGAGACCATACTTCGCCACAAAACGCAAACAGATCATCTCTGGCGCAAAGAGATTTACACCGCATTCATAACTCACCGATCCAGGTTGCCAAGCGCAGTACCACTGGAAGGAACATTTCAGCGGATATGAGCCAGAAGAGCCGAATTTCTAAAAACGAAACTAAATCCAATTTTCCTCTCATTGTTTGAGAACATTATTGCTTGCTTAACCCCGCTTTAGTTCTAAGTATCAATAACGATGTGCTTTCAAGACAGGGTCAAGCCTGTGATGCGACTGTAGCAACGGGGGGTCGTAAGCGGGGTACCTATGGTGGGGAGGGGTCGTAAAAGGAGGAAATTTGGATAAAATACAGTTAGCATGGAAGGAAATCGAATGACAAATAAATACTACGTGTTCTTAACATTACATTCATGGAATGCCGTATACCAGTGTATCAAATAAAAACGAGTGAACAATAATTTGAAAACATTTGCAAACGTAGAGCTTTACTTCATTTGCTGCACTATTGAAAGATTAGGCTTAGTTCTCTTTTTTTGAAGGGAATCACTATTTCTTCCGCAAAATATTGTCGCAAACGAGGATCGAACCAGGGTGGCATGACTAAAATTCTAAAAATGAACACCTTTAGAAGCTCAAATGCTACTAAAGGCATGTACGTGTGATAAAGATGTTAGATGTACCGATTGGTGTAGACATCCTGCTTCCGAAGGCTCACAGAAGACTCGCACACTCGACAAAAGCGCATATCTCTATCAACGTTAATCATCAATAATTTGCAATTGTGTTTGTAATACTTTTCATACGGTCTTTACAAATTATGTGTACTTTAGAAGTGCTCTACTACATTTGTACAGAATTTGGTCCTACTTTATAGCTTTTGGATCTTCTTATGATTTTATGTATGGTGGCAAAAAATAGCAAAAGGGGGGTCGTATCTGGGTCGCATCTAAATTTTTCCGGAGCGATTGAAGCTTGTTGGCTGCAATTTTGCTGTAATGCGAGGCCATCCTCCTGCTTTTCCTCATGAAAATTGCAGGCTGTTTTATAACTTCTCTGGTAAGTTACAAAATTTTTAGCTCAAAAATCCCAGTCTTTACTTTTTAGGATCGCATCTAAATTTCGAGAGTCGCATCTAGATTTTTCCAGCTCACTGCTCCTCAAGGGCTTAAACTTTTTCTATGGATAGTCTGGGAGCTATGCTACAGAACCTGTTCACTGCAGCCTCTCAGTCTTTTCCTCGCCCTAGTTACGAATTTTCAAACTACCGTGCTCAAGCACGTTTTTGACGTCGTTCTGGACGGCGCTGAAGCGGTTTTTTTTTTCGCAGAAAAAACTGTGGAAGAGGTAGGAAGTAAGCTCCTTAGTCGAAAACATCTTTTGTAGTTCAAGAATGTCATTTTTTCTTCCGTGCAAAAATTTGTGTCGCATACGGGAACCGAATTTGCTGGCCTGAAGTATGCCTGAAAATTCAAAAAAAAAGTTGCAGAACAAATGTTATGGTGTGTACGTGTGCTACGGATGCTGAACGCACCCATTGGCCTAGAAATTCTGCTTCCGAAACCTCACTGAAGTTCTCACGCATTTGTTTTTTGAGATTGGCATTCGTTTATGCAGGTTACCGCGAGGAATGTGGGCAGGGGAAATAAGGGTATAGATAGGGTGGGGGGGGGGGGGGTCGTACGGATGGGTACCTTCAAGGGGTGGGGGGGGGGGGTCGTAAATGGGGGTCCCGGATCACATTAACACGCTTGACCCTGCTTCAAGAATGAGAGTCGGCCCACATAAGCGCTAAATTATTAGTATAGCCCTACCCATCGAAAAGTGAGTGCAAAGCAAAGTTTTGGATAAGGGCAGCAAAAAAAAATAATAAATACGTTAAAAAATCGAGTGAAAATCAAAAAGACGGAAAATATAAAAACTGTGATAAAACTCACTTTAGCCTTGAAGAAGATGGCCAGAAAACCAGTGTTGCCCTTGCGATTGCCATTGATAAAAGCCTGCAGCGCAATGTCTTCAGTAGAATGCCATCTGAAAACAGCATATGTGAAGAAGTATTTGTGATAAACAGGACAAAAGCCTACATGGGGAATAGATAAAGCAATATCATTGAGCGTTCGTGCACACTGAATGGTCGCATGACCCATAGCCAAACAATTGTTACACAATTCCAGCCTGCAAATCAAATGAGACCAAAATCTGCGTAAAAGCACCCCTATCGCCGTTCGCTGAACGCCAATAAGCGTTAGTGGCGGTTGGATCGACTGTGATGAGTCACCTACGCGAATGCTAAGCGCAGCCCGTTACCCATCTGGGCAAAGTCGCGCCAGATTTCCTCGCAGACGTTACAGTTGTTTCACACCGCAGTCCCTACAGCAAGTGCGGTCCGGGGGCAAGTAAGGTATCAATCAATCGATTGTAGAGGCTGCAATATGAAACAGCCATGCATACGAGATAATCTGCGGCAATAACCGAGCTGCAAATTATGAAAGTCGCCAAGCATGAAGAAGTTGAGTAGCACTAAGACTTTGATAGAAAACAAAAATGGTACAAAAAGACCATGAATGTTTGAATACATATTAGGTTAGTATGAAAAGGATATAACAAAAATTAGGAATACATGAAACTCACTTAAATAGCAACGAAGAGCGAACAGGGCTGGTCAATGGGTTTCTAAACAGGTCGCTAAATTGAAAATCATGATACACAAGAAGTGAGCTTTGGATACCAACTTACCAGAGACAACGCATAAACGCACGCCAACAACCTCGATATGGAAACACGTGGACTGATGACATTCGTTCAACATGTAACTATGAAAAAGCTTACTTTGATAGCACGCCACATGTATACAAGTAAACTATATAACTGATATGAACGGAAACCTACATGAGAGGGACCCTGAATTATTGGGTACGGTGTTCGACCATGAGAGTAAACAATGAATCCACACGTAGCAGAACTATGAGAAACTTCACTGCTAGAATTATGCAGGATCTTCCAGACCACCTCAAAACCCATGCGGAGAATGAGCCAAAATGGGTACAATGGCACAAGCTGAACCCGCACAACATACCCAGGTAATGATATTAGGCCGATACATATCAACATGAGACATAGAGATACCCTGAAAATAGAAAACTGTTAACTGGACTCGAGGACAAAAACGAGCGCAAGAAATCACAAAGCAACGGTTGACAAGACGAAATCGAAAAAAAAGCATTATTCTCCGACGACCTTCCAAACCACGAATTCATCATCTGCATCTCTGACCGCAAAACTTGCGGCAGACGCGAGAGTCGGACCGAGCCGAACAGGGTCACTTCGTACAGGCTCCTTTTGGAGGGGTTCCCAAAGACGGGATTTCACTATTTTCATGCGGAAAAAAGATCACCCAGGGGTTTAAGGGGTTGAGAAGGCCCAAAATCGGTGAAAACCCCGTGCCTCCAATTTTGCCGATCCACTGCCTTTCAAGGCAGCGTCCAGGCAGATCTGGACCTATGGTGCTTTCACGTGGAAAGTACTTTTGGGGACCTAACTAAGGCACTGCCCAAGCGGCAGCTCAGGTAGTGCTCTAATGGCTGAGGTATTCCCCTCGAAAACTGGCTCCCGCGAACGTATTCGCATGGATTCATGGCAGTTTCGCGCCAGGATCCCCGCTTTTCCCCATGAATCCATGCGAAACACGGTCGCGGGGTCCAGTTTCGAGGGGAATATCTCAGCCATTACAGCACTACCTGAGCTGCCGCTTGGGCAGTGCCTTAGTTAGGGCTCCAAAAGTACTCCACGTAAAAGCCCTATAGGTCCAGATCTGCCTGGACGCTGCCTTTAAAGCCATCGACATCCTGGGTATAGACTTACCATAGATATAGACTTACTTACCTGTTTTTTTTCTTGCTTTTCTTACAAACACGAGCGTGTATCTCTTTATCTATCTCAAGACTGTGAAAGCCTTAGAAAAACTCAAGGCTCGAATATGAGTATGCTTGAAAAATTTTACAAAAAAAACGTGGGAAATAGAGGCAGCAAATAAGCAGCCATTGTGGTTAGAAAAAAATTCAAATGTTTTTATTCTTGTATTATTTTTGGAGTATTTGAATCTTCAATAGCCCTTTGATCATAATTCACTCTCAATTACCTTCCCCAATTAGCCTCAGGTGAAGGGGGTCATCCGGGTTCTGGCCCAAACATGAGGGGGGGGGGGGGGAGAGATTAAGATTCATTGCTCTCCCTATCGCAGCTATAATTCACAGTCACAGTGACTATAATCAATAGTAATGATCATGTTTGCTGCTTTCAGAAAAAAATGAAAAATTCGAAAAAACAGAGGGAAAATACGAGAAGGCAACGGTAAGCCAAAAATGCCTGCGTTCGGGTGCGCTGGAATAGGAGATGAAGGTAATCATACGTTGTGTCTCTTCGCGCGTCCCGAATACGGAATCAAGGATGTCAGCTCAATCTCACAAAGTGAGTTTGCCAAATGTATTAAAATGTTGCATGTTTTGATATAAGACCAGCTTCAGAATAAGGGGCAAAATCCTTTACTGCACTCTCCAACACTTCAGTGGGTCTTTTGAATAAGCGTTGCAGCAATTATATATACTGTTCACAATGAAACACATTACTAGTACTAGGTAAATTTTTCAATGTTTAGAGTGAATTTTAGTTCCACCAAATCATAAAAATGATTACAAAAAAAATAATTTGATCGAAGAATTTCGCTTGTCAGTGGTTGCTCTCAATAGCTCTGTCAAGAATTTGTGATTAAACGTGAAAGTTCTAGATGTAATTTTTTTTATAATTTTTTATAGACTTTGACAGTATTTTGCTACCATTCAAGTCTTGCAAACAAATACAGGGTGGGGCAAAAGTCTGGGAGCCTAGTACTTTTTCAAATGAAATCAGAAGGAAAGTGCCTAAGACCAAAGATTTCGGTGTACACATAAATCAAACTTTTACAAATACAATACTGCTCTCAAAAATTGAGATTGCCTCTTGTGGCTTCAAAGCAGCCCTTCGAAACCTTGGCGAGTCCGCCTGTCGTGGCACGCAGACAGTCGTGACGAAATTCGTCCCACTCCCTTACGATAACTGTTTCTTTCAACAGACAAGTATGCGATGTGATAGTGCAAGCTTTTGGCTACAAAGTACTGCGAAGAAATTTTTTTCGCAGTGTTTAGGAAAAAAATTTCGGAACTTTTTTTGTAGGCAAGTGTACTCGTATACTGGAAATTTGGATGCGACTGCGCGAACGGGAGCGAAGAATCGTAACCTAAAAATATTCAAACGGCTTGATCGATCGAACTCAAGTACATGCTTGCATAGAAGACTCATGGAAAGAATGTAGACCAGAATTCAGTGCCTGCTGTGCTCCTATAGCTTTCAAATTGATTTTAAAGAAAAATGGCCACTGGCACGCAGGTGGTATTCGCAAATTTTTATTTTGCGCTTTTGAAAGGATAGTATCTAACAAACGCAACGACTACAAATTGATAGCGCAAGGTCTCCTTTACAGTGTATTCATCGAAGTGCTCTAGAAAATCCACTGTATCTTTAGCTAAGAAGTATGTTGTGAAGACCAAAAATTTCGATTTTCTCGCTTTGCAGAGCACTTGTTTGATAAATCCAACTCCTACAAAAACATATGGCAAGCATTTTCAGCCAGCCAAAGTGCGATTTGTAGAGGATGATCGCAGCAATATGTGGCACAAATTTGGAGTTAAAATCATCAGTAGTTTCTTGATTCACAGCGCTGCAAAGTAGGCTCCCAAACTTTTGCCTCACTTTGTAGATTCTCAAAACAAGAGCTTTGTTTGAGAGCTAATAACGTACTACAAATTGTTTATTGGAGTCTCTTGATAGAGCTGATAGCTCAGTTGTATAAACATTGAACAAATGTTACTCCATTGCCTGTGTAATGTACAGGGTGCGGCAAAAGTCTGGGAGCCTAACTTTGCAGTACTGCAATTACAAAGATACTGATGGTCTTGATTTTAATTTTATGCTTCATGATGCTGCGGTCATCACCTACAGAATACATTTTATTTGGCTGGAAACGGCTGCCATATGTTTTTTGCAAGAATGGAAATTACCAAACTAGTACTTTTGCGAAGCGAAAAAACCAGAATTTTTGGTAGTTACAATTTTTGCTGTAGCTAGAGATGCTGTTAATATTTTACAAAACTTCGATGCACACAACATAGAAGAGGCCTTGCGCTATTGTATCCTAGTTTTGCCTTTGCCAGGAGCTGTTCTTGCATGAACGGAAAATGAAAGTTTGCGAATGTTACTTACGTGCCAGTGGTAATCCGTCTTCAGAACAACTTTAAAAGCTATAGAATGCTCAACAGGCACTGGGACCAAGGCTGTATTCTTTGCATACGCCTTCTAAATTAGAATCTATTGGAATTCGGCCATGGTGACACTTTTTATACTTTTTAAACGATATTTTTAAGTTTTTATTCGCGCAATTGTAGCCAAAATTCCGGTATGCAACGTGAACATGCTTCTAAATGAAAATCCAATATTTTTATTCTTAAGCAATGCAAAAAATTCTTTTGCAAGTATGTTGTAGATAAAAGCTTGCTCTATCATGCTGCACATTTGCCAAGGTAAAAGAAGCAGTTATGTGAAGGCGTGGGGCGATGTTCATTAGGACTACCTGCGTGCCATGACAGGTGGACTTGCTAAGATTTTGTAGGGCCGCATGGAAGCCAAAAGAGCCAGTTTTGTAATTCAAGAACTGTGCTGTATCTGCAATGGTTCGAATTATGTGTGCGCCAAATTTTTCGTTTCTAGGTACTTCCTTTCTCGTTTTGTACAAAAAAGTACTAGGCTCCCAGACTTTTGCCGCACCCTGTATACACCCAATTTAGGGAAGACCGTCAAAAGTTGGAAAACAGGAAGAAAAAATGGAGAACAAGAAGTGAAAAAAGCACCAACAGCACCTATTTAAAAAAGGTTTATAAAAAAATGATTTAAAGTATTCTATGCCAGTGTATTCTTGTATGCATAGATGCGATAGGTGGAGAAATTTCTCTGACCCCCTTCACTTTAGGGCCGGCATCTGGCTGACCCCTTTCACCTGAGGTTGAGACTAATCAAGGCAAGCAGCTATTACAACGGAACTTTTTGTTTGGAAAGGAAACGCCAGCTACTCTTCTCCTCAGACATCAAGACTGCAAGAGGGTATCGAATTGTTGTGTCCTCCACGTCGGACACGTCGACTCTTCGTTCCGTGGGCGCACAGCAGGAAACAGAGAATATTTATTAGAAAATAATAGAACAGCCGAAAATAAGAGAGGCAGATGAGTGAACAGACGAACTGACAACGGCTAACAGCGAGCGCCTTTTATAGCGCTCATTTCCCGCGCATTGAGGTCGCAGGCGCCTCAGCGAGGGCAGATCATACGAGAAAACAACTGATCAGATATTAACACAACACCTCCCCCAGTAGGGTAGTTACACAAAACTAGCCTACGATAAAAGCTTGAACTACAAATATGAACAGCTAAGAAATCGGTCATGCATAGAAATTCAAACAACTACAAAACTAATGAAACAAACATACAACAACATACTATGGAACAGGTTGGAACCGTTGTACCGGTCTTCTCGTTCTGCTCGACCTGCGAAGCGTTGTCGGTGGCGTGGAGGGCTCGTGGCTTGATGTCGACGTCAATGTCGTTGAATCCACGGGTGCTGGCACATCGCTCGCGATCTCTTGCTCGGAATTCTCGTCGGCTGTACTGCTATTCCTCCGTAGAGTGTCGTCTTCTGTCAAAACATCTAAGAGTATCTTCAGGGCTTCGGATTGTTGATGAAGTTGCTGTCTTAGGGCGACCTGTTCGCTATCGCTTCGATGTCGCAGCTGATTTGCATGCTTCTTGCAGATTTCATTGCCAACTATTACTTCGTAGTTGACAGGTCCTATACGTTTCATCACGGTTCCCTTCATCCAGTGGAAGTGGGGTGGCTTCCACTGCTTAGCGTACACTAAGTCGCCAACTTCGAAGTGTTTCTGAACGACTCCATGCTTCTTGTCAAATTGTTCTTCCATGCGTTCTCTTCTTCGTCGTGCGAGTGGGTCTTCGGCATCTTCTGACATTGGTAGTAACAGGCTTAGTCTTGTACGCAAGTTTCTGCCCAGAAATAATTCTGCTGGTGTCTTGTCGTTCAAGTTCGTGTTTGGTGTTGTCCTATACTTGTAACACCACATTTATAGTCTCTTCTGTTAGCCTCTCCTCCCCCTCTAGTTTCTTGATCCCGCGTTTCAGCGTATCAACGAAACGCTCTGCCTGTCCATTCGACTGGGGGTGGTATGGAGCAGTCCTTATGTGTATGATTCCACCTTCGTCACACATCTTCTTGAACAAGTC